TAAATATAAAAATAAATATATAAATAACATATAAATAAAAGAATATGAATAATAAAAATAATTAAATATGATTCATCAAATCATCTATTTCATTAATATTTCATACAAAATGAATACAAGTGATCATAAAATATAAACATAAATATTTATATATTCTGTATTTATCATACTTTTTATTTTTTTATTTTTATTTTAGGAGCAAAATATAATAAATGGAAAATTCTATGGATGCAAATTATTTTGCATCTTTTTTCTTTTTTGTAAATTATTTAGATGCATTTTTTCTTTGCTTATTTTCGTTCCCATTTTATTTTATTAATATTATTCTTACATTATTCTGTTCTTCTTTATTTTATTATTCCGTTGTTTTATCTTTATTATTTTTGTATTTTCATTTTCTTTATTTTATTGTTTATTCTTTCTATTCTTTAATTAATTACATTATTCATTTTGTTATTCTTTTTTTTTCTTTTTTACATTCTTCTCGTATTTTATGTTTATTCATTTATTTCTTCATTTTCAGATTAATATTTTCATTCTTTAATATTTCTTTATTAATTCTTATGTTATTTGTTTATTTTGTTTGAATAGTATTTGTTTTATGTATTGTTTATTTTCATTTATTATTTCTTTTATTTGACTATTTCTTGTATTTCTCTTTTATTATGTTTATTTGTTATGGAATTTAATGTATTTATTATTTGTTATTCTTATTAAATAATCAATACATTCATTTTTTTAATTATTTTTTGATTTTGTTATTTATCATTTGTTATTTCTTCTTCTTTTCTTTTCTTTTATTTCATTTTCTTTCTTTTTTGTTTATTATTTTCAATATTTCATTTCCTTTGTTAATTTTATCTGTATTTTATATTCATTCTCATTCTCATTATTATTTTTTATATTATTTGAATACCATCTCTATTATCATTCTTTTTATATTCTTTATTTTATTATATTGTTATTTGATTATTATTTTTCATTGGTTCTTTTATTTCTTTCTTTTATTTTATTTGGTGTATTTACATAAAATATTTCAATTTGATATTTATCATTTTGTTATTATTTATTCATATTATACTTTATTTTCATTATTATTATTTATAATTCACTTTATTTGTTTGTATTTTTGTATATTTTCTTCACATTTATTTCGTTGAAATAATCATAATTACATTGTTAATTGAATTTTCTTATTGTATAATATATTATCATATTGTTATGACTTTATTCTGTTATTTTCTCTATTTTCATTCTTATTTTTCTTTTATTCTGTATTGTAATAATTCCTTCTTTATTTCTTCTTCTTTTCTTTATCGTATTTGTTATTTATTATTTGTTATTTATTATTTTATTATTTGTTATTATGTAAATTTTATTAATTTTTAACAGTTATTTCAATTAATATTCATTCTTATTCATTGTATTGTATTTCTTTGGATAGTATTGTATTTTATATTTCTTATATTATGTTTTATTATTTATTATCATTCGTTGATCATACATTTCTTATTATTTTATATTATTTCTTATCATATTCTTTATTTTTAATATTGTATTTTTATTACAATTATTATATTCTTTTGTTTTATTCATTTTCTATTTTTTTTAAATCATTATTTTCTTCTTTATATTTATATTTGAAATTTATTCTATTATGTCATTTTCAATATTCTTATTCATATCATTATTATTTCTAGTTGTTATTTGTTGTTTCTATTTCTTATTTCTTATTCTATCTATTATGAAAATGATAATATTCTATTCTGTATTGTTATTCTATTCTTCTTGTATTCTTCTTGTTTATATTATCTGTTGTATTTTCAAATTTGTTATTTCTTTACTATTAATTACTGTTTATTTTGTTATTTCTTTTATTTTTTACTTTCATTTGTTGTATTTCATATTTATTATATTTCTATTACCTATTATTTCAATATTTGTAATTTAAATAACAAATAGAATGAAATGTAGTAATTTAAATTTAAATTGAATGAAAATGAAAGGATAAGAAAATAACAAATAAAATAATGAAGAATATTAATATAAAAAGAAATGAATATAAACAATATAATTAATGAACTGAATAATATTTATATGATTTAACAAATCAAATAATTACATCAAATAAATACATTAAATGATAGATGATGTATTATTTGTAATTATAAAATAAAATGAAGTTATAATAATAAATTATAATGTAAATAAGAAAATACAATTTAAATATGAATTAATAAATGAATATGCAAATATTGAGAATAACTAAAATAAAATATAAAATAAATATAATGAAATAATAGAGAATAAACCATGAAATTAAAATGAAATGAAACAAAACAAATAAAATTGTAAAAACAATAGAAGAATAGAAAATAAGAAATATTCAATGTATTTAAACAAGAAATAATTAATACAATTGTTGTAAATTATAAAACTACACAATGAATAATACATTCAATAAAATGAATTTCAAATTAATAAAATGAAAAAGAAAATTCAATATTCACTAAATCTACTGAAAATTAATTGAATAATTTTTATTATTCCTTCCTTCTTACTTATAAGTAATAAATTAAATTACTCAAACAAATAAAGGTAGTTTTTTTATAACGTTGTTATTTCTTATTTAAAGTGTTTACAATTAATTATATTTTCTGTGACAATACTATTTATACACAACACTTTTCGTTGAGCAATTAATACTGAATAAAATTAAACACAAAATAAATGAAATTGAATAGTTACTTAGTTGAAAGAAGTGATAATTTTCTTCCCATAATTTTCAATTCATCTTTAAATTGATTTAATTTTTCTGTTGTTTCTTTCTTCAGCATTTCAAATTGACGTGATGTTGTTTTTTGTTGTAACACCTTATTCTCTTGTTGAATTTTATTGAAAATAATTTGAAGTTCTTCAACTTTTTTCTGTATTTTATCTTCAAAGTCTTTTAATTCAGTTTGTGAAATACTATCACCTGTTGATTGTTTAGGTTCATTCTCAAGACTTTGTAATTCAGATTTAAGTTGTGTAATTTCATTTTTCAGATTAGATATTTCCTGTTCTTTCTCTTCAGTTTTTGAGTTAAATAAATCTTCTTGTTTTTTTGTTTCATTTATAACTTTTTCTTTTTCATTATTTAATTCTTCAACTTGTTTTTGAAGCTCAAGATTTTTTAATTTAAGTTCTTCAATTTCTTTCTTTTCTTCAGAATTTTCTGGGTATTCTTTTTCTGGATTTTCTTTAGGCTCAGATTGTTGTGTTTGTTGATTCTTTTGTCTTTCTTCTTCCAACTCCTTTTTAAGTTGTTCAATTTGTTTTTTCATATCATTAGGTTCATTTGTTTTTTCTTTAGCCAAAAATCTACGTTGAGTTCCAGAACTTTCTCTTGTTCTTTTCAATTCTTCTTTAAGAACTCCAATTACTTTGAGGAGATTTCTTTGAGATTCTTCTATTTCATCAATTTGGAATTGTAGTTTACCATTTTCTTGGATTAACCTTTTAATGACACCAGTAATAATTTCTGGGTTTGTTTCAGAGTTATTGAGTAATTCTTTGAGTTGCTTTTCTTCTGGTGACAACATAACCTCTTTCTTTTCACCTTGAGAAGATTCATCAATTTTAGGAGAATTTTGACTGAATGTTGAGAGACTTTCTTCATATAAAGATTTTGTAAGTTCAAGTTGACTTGTGTCAATTAACTGTTCAGGACGAGCAAATCCACCACGTCTAAACCCTGTAATTTTCTTGTTTTGTTTTTTCTTTTTTGTTTGCATTGTTTGACGGAAGAATTTCTTTTCTTCTTCTCTTCGTTTTTGTTTTATTTCTTCACTCTTTCTTTCTTCTTCAGCAATCCTTTGTTCATGTTCTTGTTCTTCATGGACTTTTAATTGTTCTTCAATAACTCTCATAGTCTCTTCAATTCTTTTCTTTCCTTCTTCATATTCATAATTTAATGGTTTTTCCATTCTACAAATTTCTATATCTTCATTTTTGACAATAATCTTAAGATTTCCACGTTTTAATGTACAAACTTCTTTCTTAACATGACAAACTTTCCAAATATCATCTTTTTTAATAGGAATGATTTCTTCTTTTTCATTTTCTGATAATACCTTTTCTGTTTCTTCTGTTATATTTTCGGTTTTTTTACTTTCAGATTGAATGTTATTATTTGGTTCTTCTGTTGATATATTATTTTCATTATTTTCAGAGATTATTGTAGTCTCATCTTTTTTATCTTCTACTTTTAGTTGTTCTTCGTTATTGTTAATCACACTTTCAGTTTCTTCTTTTTTTTCATTATCATTTTTCGTTTTTGTTTCTTCTTCTTTCGTACTACTTTCTCCTTTTTTTATTTTTCTTTTTCCTTCTCCATCTTTCATAATCATAGCATATGCTTCTCCTTCTTCAATTTGTTCTAAATATGATGTAGGTACATAACCTATTTTATCTCCTTGTTTTACTAATGTCCAACCATTTTTTTCTCTATATAATAAAGTTACAAATGCATTTCTTTCAACATCTAATTCATTAGGAGATTCTCCTTTAAATGAATATAAAACAATTCCCATTGGTTCAGATATTTTCATTTCAACTTCACTATTAAAGATATGAAGATATAATGAAGGAAAAACGTATTTTTTATCATTTACATGAACAACAGCCCATGATGCTATTATACTCTCAACAAAAACAATATCACCTACTTCTCCTTTAAGATGAAAACGAGTATCACCTTCATAGTCATATAATATAACTGCATATTTCTTAATATCTACATGATAAATAGATTTTTCACATTGAACATAAGATAAAGGTACATATCCTAATCCATAAATTGGGTGTTGCACAAGTAACCATCTATTATCACTTGTTGAAAAACAAATCATTTCATCTCCTTTCCTAAAACAAATATCTTTTCCATACGTAGCAATATAATCATATTTTGCTGTAACTTTACATGGAACATATGTAGGTAATTGAATACACATTGAAGCTTGTCTATTAACTCTTGTCATTCTATTTCTTCCACCTAATTCTTTTGCTAAATTAACTTTTTCAAGATATTTTATTGGGACATATCCAAAACGATATCCAACTTGACAATATGCCCATCCATTAGTATTTTCTTCATCTTCTTCATAAACATAAACCAATTCTCCTGTTTTAACATTTAAACATTCTCCATTTTTTGATTCAAAATCAAATAACACTCGTGCTCTATTATTTAAATATGTTTTATATTTTCTTATAAAAACAAAAATTTAATAACAAAAAAAAAATGACCAAACTGATATAATGGTGGCATTGACGTTGTAGCACACGTAATGTTAAATAATCCTTTCTTTTCATTACATGTCCCTTTCCACAATTCTGTATTTGTCATTTCATTGACAATAATAACATCTCCTTTTTCATATAATAAACAATTGGCATTATTTGTTTCAACTGGTGCATATCCAATAACTTCCATTTTCTTATTTCTAAATAATTAGTTTTTTTAGTTCTATTCTTTTTTTTTTCTTAATTCTTTTTATTCACAGAGTTTGAAACAAAAAAAAAAATAGATTTATTTATACAATAATATTCATTTAATTAAATATTAATACATTTTATTTCTTTCGTTCATGAATCATTGGAGATTAACCAATTCTGTAAATCTTCTTCTTGTAACTTTACTGAGTATGTTTGATTGGGTTGGAATTAATGTGTAATAACATTTATCATATTTTTAATGTCTTTGTTTTTAACTTCTTTACTATTATCAATTTTTTATTTATTATTCATGTGTTTCAAATTATTATTCAATTTATTTTAATATTTCTTATTTTCTGTATTTCTTTATTCTATTCTTTATTTATTTTATTCAAACACAATCAACTACTATTATAATATTCAACATTATTCATATCATTTATTATATTACTTTTATTCTTGTTGTTTATTACTTACAGGTTATATTTTATATTTATCTTTGTATTTTATTATTTTTGTATTATGTCAATGAATATTTCTAATTATTTATTTTCATTATACTTAAATTTAATTCATTTATTGTTATTATGACACTATCATAATTTCTATATCTTTCATTCCACGAGGTGATTTATTTTATTTTCCAATTTTCTTTATTTAATATCACCTGTGTTTCATATAACATTTCCAATATTCTAAAGTAATATCGTTATTTGGTATATTTCATTTTTTGTTTCTTCCTTATTCTAATTTTCTTGTTAGAATCAAACATGATTTTATTTGTATTGATTCTGATTATTTCATTTTTATTAAATTTAATTCTTTTATCATTCTCATCATATATTTTAGGTACTTTATTCTTTCTAGTGCTTTGACTTTTATTCCTTCTTCATCATGTTCATTTAATTTCATGATGCACTTTATTCTGTACAATTTCATTGAATATATCTTCTAGTCTATTTATTTTCTTTAGGATTTCTTTTATTTCATCAAATTTATCTCTTATTATTTTATTTTGGAGATAGAGGTGCATAATCATTGAAATCATCTTCATATCATCTTGCAGTTCATGCATTCTGCTTCCTGACAATATCCATCTATTATTAATTTCCATTATCAATTCGTCAGCTTCTTTTCTTTGAAAGTAGTAATTAATGTTAGCACATTTTTCTACTTTCATTTCTTTTACTTTATTGATGAGAATTTTAAGGTATTCTTCATCAATTTCTGTAGAGTTATTCTTTAATATGATGTTTTTTATTATTGAATTACACTCTACTCTTCCTTCCATTATATCATTTACTTTCACTTTAATGTATTGTTTAGTGCTTTCTTTTATTTTATGTGATATTTTAATATATTTAATATATTCATTTTCATTATTGACATTGATGTTTATTACTTTTATTATACTTTCTATTTGTTCCCATCTTAATTTCTTATATAATTAATTGAAAAACAAACTAATTCAAAACAATACATCACTTCAATTAATACTATACTTCTTGCTATACCATCTATTGGCAACGAAAAAAAGCAAATAATTGAAAAAGAAGAGAATGAATGATATAAAAGAATAAAAAGAAAGTAAGAAGTAGAATATGATGAAGAAAGAATAAAAGTAGAAATGAGAGAATATAAAAAGAAAGAAGATAAAGTGTAATAAAACAAAAGAGATGATAAAAGAAGAAAAGAATGAAAAAAATAAAGGATGCAAATTTTATTGAAACAAATAAAAAAAGCGCAAAATTTAATGATGCAAAATTTAATGATGCAAAATATTTAGCAACATATTTTATTGATGCAAAATATTTTGAAATAAAAATAATTCATCATTTGATATTATTATTATATTTGATAATAAATTATATTATATATTAAATACATCATATTTCTTTATTATTTATCTTTCTTTTTATTATTTCATATATTAAATTATTATTCATTCATTTATTATTTATATTTCATTTATTAAATAAAATGAAAATGAAAATGTAAAATATCAATTAAATATTCATGAATAATAATTTATTAATATTTAATAATTGAAATAATAAATAATAATGTAACAATAATGATATATTCAATATATTCTTTATTTGATTTGTTCAATATTAGATTATTCTATTTCATTATCATTTCATTATTTCATTATTTATTTCATTTATTATTTCATATTCATTTATTATTTTTTAAAATCAAATAAACAATAATATTGATATTCATTCATCATATTCATTTAATATAATAAATATACACAACAATTAATAATAAATAATGAATATTTAACATTGAAAATATTGATTATATTTAATATTTTGTTCAACATAAAATCAATAAAACATATATTTTGATAATATATGAATGAAATAATAAAGAAATATACAATACTCAAGAATTAATAAAAAAGAAATAAAAAGAATAAATGAATATAAAATTGATAAATAATAGAAGAAAGAAATAGAAAAACAAAGAAAAACAAATAATATAAAAAGAATATAAATATATAAAAGAATAAAAATAAAGTATGAAGAAGAATATAAAAATAATAAATCACAAAGAGGTAATAAAATAAGAAAAGAAGAAATAAAAAGTGTGTTTTTATTGTAAAAATTAGAAATATTCAATAATAAGTGTCTAATTTAATGATGTAAAATGATTAACAATATTTTATTGTTGAAAATATTTTACTCTCTTTATGTTTATTATTTATATGTATAATTTAAACATGATGTTTATTATATATTCAATCATATGTGTTATGTTATTATAGCATATAATAAGTGATAAAATATAAATGAAAATGATATGAATATATGATATAGAATATAAAACAAAAGAATAATAAGAATAAATGATAAATAAAATGAGAAATGATAATCAATAATATTAATATAAAATCAAAGTATAAAAGATAAAAATAATATTAATATAAAACAAAAGAGAATAAATATAAAATGAAAATAGATATAAATGATAATAATATAAAAATGATAAGAATATAAAAATGATAAAGATGAATATTCAAATAATAAAATACATTTAAATATAAAAGAATAACAATAAGAAAATCCAAATAATATAAACATAAAAATAATAAAATAAGAAAAAAATAATAATATATAGATAATAAGAAGAATACAAAGATATAAATAATATAAACAGAGAAATAAATATATAAAAATTCTATAGATAAATAACATATAAATAAAAGAATAAAAATAATAAAAATAATTAAATATGATTCATCAAATCATCTATTTCATTAATATTTCATACAAAATAAAAATGATAATAAAATATAAACATAAATATTTACATATTCTGTATTTATCATACTTTTTATTTTTTTATTTTTATTTTTTAGGAGCAAAATATAAAAAATGGAAAATTCTATGGATGCAAATTATTTTGCATCTTTTTTTCTTTTTTGTAAATTATTTAGATGCATTTTTTCTTTGCTAATTTTCGTACCCCATTTTTTATAAATGTCAATCATTTCAATTCTATATTTGATAGTTAAAATACATTAAAACATGATATTCTCATTTTACATCATTATAATTATTCTTTACA